AAAAAAAAACCCAGAAAACAGTACCTCCTCCGCAGGAGAAACTCCGACTTGACAAATGTTGTTGATAATTCTAAGAGCATCAGAAACTCTTAGAGAAGCTGCTAGACCCTGAACTAGTGATGTGTAAACACGAACGTCTGGTCTAGACCACTTCCATCTCTCAAAAAAAGTCCCAGTTTCAGCTACCCCTGCTTCGTCATCCACAACCTAAACTGTAACGAATTCACTCTTGACAAGATGATAGAGATAAATATCGGTTTTAAGCTAACATTTTCTATATAGTTACCTTTATTATTGATTTTTATATCAGGAAATCTTTTGAGTTTAGAAGATTTGATAGTTGGATTTTGTATTTGTAATTTGTATTCATATTAAGCTCATCAATAGTGCTTGTTACTAGTGAATTTTCTCTCTTTCTCCTAATCCATAAATATAAGCAAATTGCCAAACGCTTAAATCTGTGTGTTTTCTTCTCATATTTGACAATAAGAGCATAATCAAGCACCAAAATCAAACTATAGAACTGCAATTTTCTTTCCTTTTGTTCAAACATTGACACAACCATAAGTTTCAAAGAAAACACTACCTTGATCAAAACTGGCACGCATTGCGTAGAAAACAGAGAGAGCCAAGTCAAGATTGTTCCGGTCGAGCGCGGCGGAGATGATCAGCTGGCAATCTGAAGTTCCGACGACGCCGCCATTTCTGTCGGACCTTCCGGCGATCATCTGGAGTGCTTCCTCGGCGTCTTTAGCGGCAGACACCTGGTTCAACAGTTCGGCGTCCAAAAGCTCCGAGACCGAGTTCTCGGCGACGCTGGAGGAGGTTTCGCTCTCGCCGAGAGAAGCTCTGGTCCTCGGTGTCTTGGAGAGGTTCAAAGTCAGAGTCTTGGAGAGCAAAGTGTGGGTGCTCGATGTGGTGGTGGTGTTGAAGTGGTTTGGAAGTGGAAGAGGGAGGAGTAGAGAGGGGTGGGAGAGATGGGACAGCCATGGATGATGATGATAGCTCAAGTTTAGCAAGGTCATTTCGTTTCGCTTTCGTTTCGCTTCTGGAAATGGATTTGAAACGTTTCGAAGAGGAAGGGGGAAAAAGCTTTGAGTGAGGAAAATGGTGGGTTTTGCTTTGTGTGTTCTTGGAGATAAAAGATGAGGAACTTGAGGCCGTTAGGTGGTTTGGGACAACGAAGAACTGTTAGTTTGGGACGTATGTTCGCGTGCATGTTGGTGTACAGTAAGTGATATGGGGTGGAAATTTTGAACCGCTTACGGCGTCGACGGGATTAAAGTCAAACAAACGAACGTAAAATGTCGCAGAAAAGAAAATGGAGAAAAAGGTGACAAATTTGGAGGTGCGGGGAATCGAACCCCGTGCCTCTCGCATGCGAAGCGAGC